GGCACCCAGTGCTGTGTGCACCCACGCTGCCCACAGGGTGTACCTGCTTGGGCAGGAGATGCATCAGCATCGGGTGGAGGGGAGAGGAAGCCCAGGGCTCGGCCTCGTGCGCGGCCACAGCCATGTGATGGCGAGCAGGCATTCGGGGCTAACATTTAATCTGCTTTGTTTCAAGTGGGAAATATGTGAAGATCAAATAAGTTCAAATCCAGGTCAAATATCCTTGAAAATCTTTGATTTATATAAGCAGGAAAATGAGGTTTAAAAGAAGTGATTATGAAAGGGTTACTAAAAACACAGCTGTACGCGTACTCTTATATCTGAGGCTCTCCAAAGAAAAACTGTGTGACATCTATATTAACCTTTGGCTGTACACCAACGAAGGCCTGTAGTGAGCTGGAATGCAAGGCAGCCCCTTCCAAATTTTAACACAAGCCAGGTTACAGCTGCAAATGCCTGCAGCCCGTGCTCACTTTATAAAGTATTCCCCGAAGGAAATTTTTTAACTGTTATAGAATCTTTTTCTAATACCCTACAGTGTTAAAGCCTGTTATTAAAGGGCAGAGAGATGGTTCCCCATGCCAAACACTTGTCAACAAAAAGGATAGCCAGATGGTATGAAATAAAAGGAAACTTGGGGGCTCTTCAGCTCCTTCACTTACATTAACAAAAGCCACTTTGATGTGCTCCTTCCAAGAATGACTAATTCTGCCTCCCCCCCCTTATTTTTTTGCCAGGATTAAGCAATGTTGTTCATTTTATAATCAACCACGAGACAAATTAACAAATTGCACAGCACTTGTGCCGACTCCTTAAGAAAATGTTCTGTGCACGTCTGTTTACCAAGCCAGGATCACCCGCATAAGGACAGCTCAATTATTTTTAGAAGAAGGGTCCATGCGAGGCAGAGGATGTTTACTCTTCAGCTGCTGTTTATAAACTGGAAATTAAACCGATGCGAAAAATGTTTTGTGTTTTTTCAGGGCTTAAAATGGATCCGCTTGTAAACTTCATTTGGACGTGGGTCTGAAATGGAATTCCAGCTAATGAAATTGCAGTAATAAATTTTATAAAATTAGACAGCAATTAACTGACTAACTTCGTCAGACACTGTGGCTAAACTCTCTTTTAATTTACACGTAAATTCATTCTTGACACAAATCCATTCCTCATCCATCTTAGCACAGGTGTAAGTTAACACAAAATGTCGCCTGTGAATTAACTGGTTATAAATCTAAATCTAATTAATTGTCAAGATTTTACAGGAATATTACATGCTTAGTACAAAGCTCCCTGTAACATAACCCTGAGATGGAGCACCTGTGCTGGGTTCCTCCCTGCCAATGCCCAGTGTAAATTCTTTGGGATAAATACACAGAGCATCTCCATAGAAATCAGTGTGTATTTGTGCTTGCTCTGAGGTTTTTTTCTTTTTCACTATGCAACCCAGGCAACTTTCAGTGTAAATCTTTATTTCTTACACGTTTTCCTCCGAAGCTGCATGCCCACATAGACAGATGGGGAATATGAATACAGCAAACAAACAAACCTACCCGTATCTGTAGATGAGCACTTGGAAGCCTGGAATAACACGTTTTGTTTATTTAAATTCAAAATTACTATTTCTTCAGTCGCTTTTACTTCCTCCACTACTGAGGTGGAAGTTTATTATGCGGTGACATTTCCTCATTGCGATGGCTCTACCATAGTAATAAAAGCCTACCTGTGAAACGCAATGCTCGCAGAGGAGCTCCTACAAAAGTAGGACACAGTTTAGCACAGCCTGCGTCCAGCAATTCAGCTCTGGTGTCCAAGGGATGACTGCAGAAAATCTCCCAAAAAGCACCAGTTCTACAACAGCTTCTAATTTTCCCTGGATGTTATGGCACGCTGGACATATCAAAGCAGGTGTCACATTTTACTATATATGTGAGTGGCTGAGCTAATTCATTCAAACGTCCCTAAACAAGCCTGTCTTTGTCCTATAAAGATGAAAGAGCGATGACTATAATGGGATGAAAGGTGTGCACAGGGATGAAGAAAGCTATTACGGATCTATGTCCTTTTTAAACTCGTCCTGGCATGCAGTGTTGACAAGGGAACAAAACAGCGCAGATAAACCTCGGAGAGGTGCCTTGCTGGTAATGATCCCACCTGTCTCGTTTAAAGCCTTTGGGTTTTGCCTGCGCTCTCACGTCTGACAGTACATTGCATGGGGAACGCTTTCAGGTTTCTAAGCCAACTACAAAACACAGCAGGCTGAAATGGCTCTATCCGCTGTCGCCATCGCATCGGGACATGGAGTACTGAGCGTGCACAGCTCACACAGGCATAACCCGCTCTGTAGGAAGTTCCTACTTAGACGTAGCCCAGATCGTCATTTTCACTTTGCAGTTTATGGAGGGGTTCCACTGTAATCGCAAAGCGTTTGTGTTCAAAATAATTTGGGACCCGAATATTAACTCCTTTTGTTTCACCCCTCCACGGGCTGCAGGAAAGGCCTCTCCTGATGCCGGTGGTGCGGGATGGGAGCGCTGTGCAGCCGTAGCTCTGCGCACCAGCAGAGCTGCACGTCCCCCATTGGTACTTACATGCTTCTTAGGTGCTCTGCCTCCCTGAAATTCTGTGCTTTCAGTCCACTGAAACTCACAGAAGTGTGAATTTCGCTATGGTTGTTTCCACATCCTTTGTCTTCTGTGCTCTGGGTGTGTTTACGTCGTGTAGGACCCAAGATCCACACAGAACAATGTTTGCGAGATCACTCTTATCTCTAAAGCCAAATATTTGACCACCATTCATACTTTTGGCTGCTCAAATATTTGGCTTTGAGTGTATCATTGCTGATCAGCTTAAGTATCTAGCAGTGATTAGGCAAACACGATAATGGTAAATGGAAAGCATCAGCCCTCCCAAAGAGCACATCCCTAGGCCAAACGTAACTCAGAGTCCTGCTGCGAGCTTACGGCATTTAATGAGGAGGTGCAGCTTGTGCAAATCAGAGGTCTCACACAGCATCCCATGTGATGGAAGAATTGTGTTGGGACGGCTACCGTGTCGGGTAATTACTATTGTTTGCCATTGAGCTTTGCAGACACTGATACTATGGGCTCTGGGATTGGAGGGGTGGGGGTTTAACTTGTGCTGCCCCTGAGCCCAGAGACCCAGTGAGGCATTAACAGGTTTGTGGATGATGGGAGCGTCTGCAATCCCCAGCGCATTACATGCTGGAGGTGCACTGCTCTGCTCTTTTCTTGTGTTGGGACCAACTTTGAGTCGATCTTGTTTTGGAAATGCTACTTGCGTTGTGTCGGGAGTTTGCAGACACACAATCTGTACGTGTGGTGGTTTCAGTGCTGTGCGTGGTGAGGTCTAAAAACGGACAGAGTGAACCACGGTCTGTAATTATATATTGAAAATAGAATGCTCATCCTGACGGCGTTTTACTCAAATCCGGCCAAGTCAGTCCAAATGGGTGTGCAATCTACAGCAAGCAAATAGAAATCAGATTGGGCCATAGCATCCAATTAGAGAGGCCTAGCGAGCCGCATACAAAGCATGCCAACTTCGTATCATTTGCATAAAACCATCCACATGCGCTTGGGGAGAGAGGCAACTTGGCCTCACTAATGGAGGTCAACAGAAAAAGCTGCAGGAGTGAGCGCGGGTTCACAGTGGGATGCCCCCGAGCCATTGGGAACGCGCTGGGAGCCCCACATCCTGGCAGCCCCGTGTCCCGCAGCGCCGTGAGCCCGCAGGCTTCGTGTCCTCCTCAGTGAGGTTGGACGCGGCCAAGCCCAGCAGCTCAGCTCCTACCTGCAGGGCCGCTTTCGGAAGGATGGCACGGAACCATCCGGGGAGAAGCCAGTAACGCTCTCGGTGTGTCGGCGTGCGGGTGGCCGTCTGTGCGCTGGGATGGCAGCCGGAGCCCTGGGCACGCACTCTGGCCTCGCCACCACGCCGTCACCTTCCGAGTACCGCTCCCGCCCCTCCTCGCCGCCCATCCCGCCACCTGCCCGCAGCCCAGCCCTGCCCCGGCCCCGGGCACTCACCCAAGTTGACGAAGCTCATGACCATGTCGGCCTCGGTGAGGAAGTTGCTGTCCTGCAGGCTGGCCAGCGGCGGCCCCTGGGTGCTGAAGATGGGCTTGTAAGGGTAGGAGAAGCCCTCGCCCTCCTCGGCCGCCGCCCCCGCCGCCCCCTCCTCCACGGACATGGCATTGTAGAGGTCCAGCATGAACATGGGGGCCGAGTTGTGCTTGCCGTGGAGGTGCGGCCGCGGGCGGTGCGGCAGGCCGAGGATGGAGAGGATCTCCCGCTGCATCTCGCGGCGCTCGGGGCCGCGCAGCCGCCGGTGGATGAAGCTGGAGTGCACCTCGTTGTCCAGCGTGAAGTCGGCGAGGACGCAGCGCAGCCAGAGGGCGGGGGCGGCGGCGCCCAGCACCAGCAGCCAGGAGGCGGGCTGCCCGCGCCCCGCCGGCATCGCGGCGAGGCGGCGGCGGCGGCGGCGGCTGGGGGGCGGCGCGGGGGGCGCGGGGCTGCCCCGCCGGGGGACGCGCCCCTCCGGCATGCGCGGCCCCGCGCTCACGGTGCCGGCCGCCGGCCCCCGCGGAGGAGCCGCGGCCCGCTCATGGCCCGGCGGGGGCTGCGCGGCGGCCCCGGCCCATGGGACGCCGAGAGAGGAGGAGGGAGCGGAGCGGAGCGAGAGCGCTGCGTCCGGGAGCGGAGCCCGAGCGCCGCGGCCGATCCCGCACGGCGCGGCGGAGCCGTGTGCGCTGCGTGCTCCGCGGAGAGGCAGCGGGAGGGTGGCTCTGGTGGGAGGAGCAGGAGCGGAACCCAACGCGCTCCTCTCTCGCCTGCCCGCTGCAAACCGCTGGGGAGAGCAAAGCCGCGCTGCCGCCGGGAGGGGGAACGGCTGACGATCAGGTTGCTCGGCAGGACGTGCGCTGCTGGCTCGGGGCGAGGGCGGCCGGTCCCGGCGGTCGCATTAACGTGGACGTGATGAAGGAGAAGACGCCCCGGGAGGGAGGGAAGGAGGGCGGGCGGTCTGAGCGGAGGCAGAGTTTGGAGGTGCGGATACGCCGCCAGTGCGCGCTAACAGCGCGCAGCCGTGTCCGGCCGGCGCAAAGCCCGCGGCACCCAAGTAGTTCAAAAGCAGCACTTCTGCGCTCGCACGCATTCATGCAACAGGGGCGATGGGCTTAGAGTCGCAGAGCCACCAACCCGGCATCGTGGCCGTGCTTTTCGCCTTCCAACCTGCTCGGGCACCTCGTGCCACCCCGCTCCCCTGCTCTGTCCCCCTGCCCGTTCCGCAGCCCCCTGCACACCTTTGCGCAACGCTCTGGGAATGCATCGCCTGCTTTTTGAAGCACTGATTTCACTGGGTTTCTAACTCAGTCTGTGTAACATCTACGGTAATGCAGCCCCAGCCCCGGCAAGTCTGGGTAGCGCTACTCAGTAACGATAGAGAGCAGCAAGTAGTCTGCTGCTTCCTCAGGTCTCGATTGGAAAGCAAGAGGAAAGCAGGACAGAAGGTTTATCTGGGACACCGAGCCCAGCCCCAGGTAACCTCAGGAACCAGACGCACACACGAAGTTGGTGCTGCCATCAAGATTCATTCCTCAGGCAAAGGAGAAAGAAGAGGGTGAGAGAGGTTCAGTGCAATTTGTTAGATTGCTCCGCTGGTGTTTTTGGACAAGAAATAACTAGCAGTGCTAGCACCAGATCCTCCATCTGCTATGGAAAAAGGAAGTTCTGCCCTTCTTTTAGCTCGTTATGTTTAAATTCCTCATGCAGATGGCAGGTAACTGGTTAAGAGCTGCATGGGAAAGACCCGAAATGGTTTAGCATGTTTGTGTGCGTCTGTGAGCACCTTTTAATAACAGGGAAACTGAGGCATGGCATTGACATGACTCACAGAGCTATTGAAATAGTGGTGGAACCAGCACTGAATCCAGCTCAGTTGTTTAGGAATGCGTGGGGGGTGGGGGTTGGGGGGCAGAGGCGGAGCAGGGCAACCAGGGTCTTTAGTATGGAGCAGTGCTAAGCCCAGGGTGCTATGGGGGGGGGGCTCAGATGCCACCCCGGTGGGTGCCTTCCCCTCACCCCCCACTGATGGGAGCTTCAGCTCTTAGCACTTGGGTTTCACAGTTAAGATCAAACTCCCCCATAGTTCCTGAGGAGCAGTACCAACCTGCTCTTAACCAGGCAGCTATTTGCCTACATTTCTCTCCTGCCTAGGGTGTGGTTTCTTGACCAACTGAAATCCAAGCTGCTGACACCCAGCGCAGCCCTCCAGCTGCAGGCTCACTGCCCTCCCGGTGTGCGCAGGTCAGGAAGCCTGTTCTGCTTTTCAACAGTAATCTTTCTCAAACCATTTCTTGTTTGTTTTTGCTGAGTTAATTTTCTGCTGGATCAGCTCCTCGATCCTACTGAGTGCATAAGGGATGGTGCTGGAATGAGGGAGGCTGCAGGAATGCACAGCTGGGGGCAAGGAGAGGGTGGCAGGGCTGGGCTGGGATGCCTGGCATTTCCCTAAACCAGTCATGGAAGGGCAGGGAGGTGACTGAGCATCTCCCTCTCTGCTCTATCAGCCACACACAACTCAATTTCACTTTCTTTTTTGTTCCTTGTAGGCAGAGTCGGCCTTTTGTCACACAGCAGAACCAGGGGACTCACGTTCCTCAGGATCAGGGAGACTGGAAGTCTGTAAGGGTGGACTGGTGGAATGGAGAGCAGGTGGCCCTGCTGCCTGAATTACTTACACCTGAGTTGCCCCTAGCTCACATTTGCAAACTGAATAAATCTCAGATCAGTGTTGTATTTTAAAATGGCATCAGTCTGAGGGAAAAGGAGGGAAAAGAAGGGAAAAGAAGAAAAGGAAAAAAAGAAAAGAAAAATACTGTTTGGAAGGTTTGGCTCGTGACTCAACACCTCAGGTAACACACAGCAGTCTGTGTCATTGAAGAAATAGCAGTGGAAGAAATGCAAACCTTGAAGCCTCTTGGTTTGACATATTTCTTGAAGTAGCGATGTTTGAATCTATCTCCTTCTTGTTTTGTTGGCTTAAGTGGTCTGGTTTTGTCTGAGATTGGATACTTCCTGATTTAATGTAGGATATGTCCTTTAAAAAGGGGGGAATGCTGAAATTGTATCCCCTGCTTTCATAGAGGTAGTTGGTAATCTCTTCTAGCAGTGTTTTCTGCGCTCCTATTGCACCAGGTAGAGCATTAAAGAACTGCATTATAGTTGCAATGAGGGTGCTGCTTGCATATATTCTTAAAAACAAAACCACTGTGAGTGTGAGATGAGAGGGGATCTGTTAAAGAGTCATTTCTTTAACGTGAGGCTCACAGCAATTGACTTCAGCTCACTGTGGGACACAAAGCAGCATTTATTCTGCTGCACACAATGAAGGATGATGCAGCTCAGACTGCAGTGGTTCAGCCCTCAGATCTGAGCTTGAATTTCAAATCCCTTTCAGACAAGGAAGGTACAAAGGGGATTGTCTTTCTCGTGGACAACATCCTTCTCTTCCCTCCTTTTCCTGCTGTGTGACCGCCATCCTGCTTCCACAGACAGCGTGCTGAAATGTTGGCACCTTCGTGTCATCGTCCTCTTCCTCCTCCTCCTTCCTGGATCAATTAAGAAACCAGTTTTTCCTCTTCTCTGCTCCTGTCGTTCCTTCTCTTTTTGAGATGGAAAAGTAAATGCTTATGGTGAAGCAATCCCTGTTTGCTGGCACTGGATGCATGGGCTCATTTCTGTAAAAACAACCTCCCCGTGTTTCTTGAAGCTCCATGCAAGCCATGTTACCCACTGAGTCACTCTGTGATCTCCCTGAGATTCACGTGTATGCTGTTATCTGGCTTTTGTCCCTGCTGCTGGCACTGCTTCTGTTGGGGTAGAACTCACTACGCTTGGAAGTACTTCTTTAGGATAAGGAATCTGATTTGAAAACAGGAAATAGAGTGCAAAATTCAGATATGTGTGTGATGAATTTGTTTGTGCTGATCCCAACGCTGTGCACTCCTGTTAGGAAATTCAGTTGCATGCAGTTTTACCACATGGACAGTAAGAAGTGGAGGCTTTGCTCACAAGCTCATTTCATGGCTGTTTTCAGACATCAGACACAAAGCATTTTTCTTCCTTGCTCGCTTTCGAGCTCCATGCCTTCCTGCTTTGATGTCCTCAGCTTTAACCACGTTTCTTTTCCGTTCTATTTTGCATCTTCTCTCATTTGTCTCAAAGTGCAAGCCCTGAATTACAGCAAACTTTTTTCTTCTCCTTCCAAGTGTTCCCACTGAACTAACACGTGTTTGGGGAACTTGGGGTTGTTCCTCTGGGCTTCGCACATGCAGAACATTTATATAACAACAATAATAGCATCATTATTTGTATAAGACCGCATAATTAGCTTGCATATTTAATTACACTATATTGGATTATCCTTATCAAAAGTTTCTATTCATCTCGTCGGCGTTATTACTGGGAATGAACTCACCAACACACGTAATCGCATTATGGGTAAGCCATTGTATTCATTCTAATCCAGGAATTTGAGCAGGTTGGGGCTGGGATGGACTGCACTGATTGTGGAGAGAAACTCAGTGTTGGTTCTCACTGCTGCTGATGGGAGGTGGAGCCGAAAGCTGAGGTTTGGGTACGAGAGAGCGCTGTTGCTTCTGGAGATGGCTGCAGTAACTAAGCAGTGGTCTTTGGGTTTGTAACATCGGGCTCTCGTGCTGAATTCCTCCACTGTGTGAGGTGGGCAAAGCTTGGCCCTTCACAGCACAGCACGTGGGAGCACTCCACAAAACCAGAGCTCCGTGGGGTACTTCTTTGTTATTACCCTGAGAGCACAGTGTTGGGTTCACAGCGCTGAAACCTTTGTAGCGTCGTGTTCATCACACAGCTATTTTCAGCCTGAATGTGGCCCCGTGCTGTATCTGATGTGTTGGTACCTGTGTGTGTAAATGCAGTGGGGAGCAGCAATGTCGTTATACTTTCTATAAGAAACACATTTCTATGGCATAGGTATCAGGAGAATATTTTTTGACACAGGACCACTTTTAGATCCATGTATTACCAAAGCTGCTGACTTTAATCTTGCACTGCTAAATTGTTCTGCATACTCTTGATTTAGCTGAGACTTTTGGCATAAACTCGGGCACTTCTTTCCCTGGAAAAAATGCACGCTGAGCACCCAGAAGCCCCGGCTCAGGGCTGTGGGAGCTGAGAACGCTGAGAACAACTCGCTCTGGGTTGTGAGGAGCGCGCATAGCACTGCAGCAGCTCCGTGCCTCGGAAATCCTGCCCGCTGGCAATGCTTCCTTGCAGTGCTCTTTGCTACACGGAGCGTCATCGGATTATCGGGGTTCTTTTAGCTTGTATTTCTGTGTTCTGGAGTGTTTTAGCTCTCTGTTGTTTCTATTCACTAAAGGCAGATTTTAATTTTTTGAATTGTCTGTGTATGAAAAGCATATAAACCTATTCCATGTTTTCAAAGCGAACAAAAGCAATAGCTGATGCTGTGAAATGCAACGAGACAAATTCAGATGGCTTTACTTTTTTTCTCCAGGCAGGTGCGGGGTAACGCCTCAAAAGAACCTTTATTTTGTGCCTTTATTCCAACGTGCGCATAAACGCTTGCATAACCCTTGCACAGCTGCTGCACAAACTGCTCATGCCACAAGTATTAGTAATCCTAGCAGGGGAGGTTGCATGGAAAACTGGGGTGTGTATGCTAAACCATATGTACCGTGCCCCTGAATCATAAAACTTCCGCTGCTGGAGCGGAGAGATTTTTGGAGACCGGTCAGAGAGAGCGCAAGATTGTAACAGCCGCACCCCGAGCCTTGTCTTTTGTCGAGGCTTATCGTACTTGCGCGTTTAAATAAGCAGGAAACAGCGCTGGGTCCGACGTTCTCGTAGCGCAGTCCCAGCCGCTGCCCGCCGTCCCGCGCCGCTGCCGTCGGAGCTCCGATCTCCGCCGTTCCGTCGGACGGGGCGGCTCGGAGCTCCGCCCGGGACCCCGCGCTCAGAGCGCTCTGCCCGAGCGTTTCCAAATCGTACGGAGGCACCGTTTCCTCTGCTGGCGTACGCTGGCATAGCAGCAGCAGCAGCACGCTGACTCGCAGCACGCAGGAGCCCACCTGGGTGGCTGCACTGAGCGCCTGGGACCGCGGCCGCTCCTTTTGTGGCGGATCCGTCAGTCGGAGCGCAGCGCTATCAGCGGTTACCTCGCGGAGATTGGAGCTTCTAAGTTTTCAGTCGGAACCTTTTTGCTCGCTCAGCGGTGCTTGGCGCGCACTGAGGCCGCTTTGTCAAGTGCATCCTTTCAGCATTCATCCAAAGCCTTTCTCTGCGGTCGTCTGAGCCCCATAGGCAAATATATACTGTTGGGCTATTAAGATAATTTTTCAGTTAAGACATCGCCGAACTGCAAGCGGGACAATAGAAACAAACCCCCTTTTGTTCCCACTAAACTGTTCCTAATGACCCCCTCCGCAAACAGCGGCCCCAGCCGAGCCCCAACAACGGCCCTCTGTCCCCTCCGCTGTGCTTTGCCGGGCGGCAGCGGGAGCGAGCCGCTGCTGGTGCCGTGCGAGGCGACCAAAGCAATCGCTTCGATGCGCGTTTCCACAATGAGCGTCCTGTACGGAGCGCTGGGCGTTCGATTGTCGGGAAAGCGGCAGAAGGAAACGGTTTGCTTAAATCGAGGGCCTGTGGGGTGATTCTTATGAGTTCCATGCGAAAGTTTAATTAATTAATTGTTTGAGGTCAGTTGAATTATCTGCTTAGCTCATATGAGAACTATGCGACCATAAAATCCTGAGAATTTAGGATTTACACACGCCGATAAAATCCCTTGCGTTTGTTTTTGGGGTAAGAGTCACCTTTGGGGGTTATGGTACTTATGTGGGTGGGAAAGCTCTGTGCAGGGCAGGGTTCTGTCCTTGTAGCCTAGACAAAAGGGAGTTATGGTGCTAAATCGAACCCACTACAGATGAAACCCACGTCGCTGTGTCTCAGTCACTGCCGGCACTGAAGATAACTGTCACAGTGTGTCTGAGCACGGTTGAAGGCCATGGAAATTATGAATCGCTTCCTGATTAGTTCTGCCCCTATTTCTGTGCCCTGAATGCATGAGAACAATAGCATGGGGGACCTTCCATTTAAACAAAATCCTATTTACAGAGCATCTTCATTGTATGTAATTAGGAAGTGTTGATGGGTCAGACAGCAAAAGTCCTTAATTTGGGTAGTTTGGGAATTGCACTGATTACATTTGCAAATAGAAATGTCATTTTCTTCTGGGAGAAACCAGAGTTTGTGTTCCAGCATCTGACTTACAGGGGGATTTCCAGCTTAACGGGGTGGTTAGAAACAGATAGGAAGAGATAGAAGGCAGGGACCACATATTCTGAGTAAAGGTTAAACCATGGAAACAATTCCTCCTGCGGTAGTAGGAGCACCTTCAGGTCCCCATGGCATCCCAGGGGCTGCGGGCTCACCTGGTGGTGCTCTCTTCTTTGGGCATGGCCCGTGTTCTTCCTCCATAAGGGATTTGGGAGGGAGGTTTTGGTGCATCCTGGAAAAAAGGGAGCATTTGGGTAAGGGCAATGAAAGCCCAGTGACAGGACAGGGGAGGAAGGGAAATGTCAGAGGAAACTTTAGGAAATTTCCAGTCCAAACAAAAGGATCTTTGTGAAAGATACAGTTGGCAGTCTGGTGGGAGGAATGGGGATGTAAAACAAATGGAGAGGATTTGCAAGTTGTGCAGAATTGTTCTCAGCCCTGAGGCGAGGACGAAAAGCAGAGCCTTGCTGTTGACTATATTTGGTGTGTATGGAGGAGCAGCTTGGACATGGAGGGTGCTAACGAAACACACAGAGCCGTAACTCGTGTCCCCACTGCACCACGGGCACAGAGAGCAGTGCTGCTCAAGGGCAGAGCTGAGGAAGAACAAGCAGGGCCTGACCTGGGAGAGCCGTCCTTTTCCACCGCTGCTCAGCACAGGTCCCTAAGCATGTGCCCATGTGCCAACGTGCTCCATGAAGGCAGCTGTGTTGTTCTTATTTGTACGTGTGTAAGCACTGTATGGAGTGCTGTACATCTGATTTTCAGTTTTAAATATGGTAGCTGCCCAAACTGAGAGCGTGACACTATGGTACAATACGACTTTTGTCACAGCTTTCCTCAAAAGTCCTCGTTTTAGCATTGTTTTTTGGAGAAAAATCTTAAAAAAAGGCCAGCTCTCTGTGACTGAAACTTGCTGCCTTCAGCTCAAAGTCTTTTTGAACAAAAAATTCCAAGAGGATAGGCTGAGAAATGGCCTTGTTTTCTGAATCCGTCCACTGAAGCTTTTGGGAGTTAATTGATCAGAATAAATGAAGAGACATAATTCCAACGGTGCCAAATGGCAGATTTGATGTAAGGATTTGACCAGAAGCTCTCATGTTCCTCATCTTTAGGGGTCGTGTTAGGAATATCGTAATTGTTAGCTGTGAACAACAGTGCCAAGGAGGGCTTTTCTTCAGGCTCTCTTGTGATTGCGTTACGGTGACGATGAGGATCATGGTAGCATTGTGGACTTTCTATTAACCTCGATGCAAATTTGCTTTCTCCTGAATGCAGTGAATGTGGTTATCCACAAATCTCCAAAGCCAAAGCGTGTTGCATGGTGCCATTGTCTTCCATGCAGTCTCAAAATTCATTTTAGTGATGTTAGTTGGTTTTTATTCCAGTGCTTGTAAAAGCTTATTGTGAGCTTTCGGCTTCTATTAGTGACAGGAAGGCACGAAGCTATTGGTATAAAGCAAAAGTGATCTTCAGAACGTTCAGATCTGCGCTGGGAGCCGGGCTGTTCAGAAACAAAAAAATATCTAGCATACAAAAAACCGAAGGGTTTGGACATTTGTTTTAGATTTGTCACAGAACAATTTAAAAAACAAAACATGAATAGAAAGAATGAGCCATCCCAGAATAGCCAACATCCAGTGGCTGGGGTATTTACTTGGGCCCTGTCCAAGCAGCGCTTTATGGGATTTGGAGCAGACATTTGACATCGTGTTTTCAACATTATTTTTGTCAGACTCAAATTTGGGCTCTGGAAGTGGGTTGAAAAAGAGCTCAGTTGGAGGGAGCGTGGTGTAGGTGTGCCTCAGAGGGAGGGAAACTTCTTTAGCAGCAGGGCAGAGTGGCCGTGCAGAGAGCAGCCAGGCACCTGTTCTGCTGAGTGCAGGCGGTGCTGTGAACGTCAGGGTATTTTGCTGCCTTTGGGAGTGACTAAAGTAAGCAATGTTCACGTTTGTTCTCTGGTCTTACACAGAACAGATTTTTTTGTCATGGAAATATCTGAACCTGAGGAAGTTTATTTCTGTGGGAATCGGTATAATACTTTACCTAAGGTGTATTTTTCACAAACTGGCATTTCCTGATGGCAATATCACTCTGCCCCCAAATTCCCGACCGGTGTTCTGAGCTGAGATGTAACTCTGCGCTGTACAAATGCAATTCACCTTCAGTATTTCTGTAGGTTCATGCAGAGACAAAGAGTGAAATGCTCTGGGGTATTAAAGCTGCATGTGTGCAGAAGAAACAAGCAGAGTCCAATGCAAAAAGCTCTGGGTGAGCCGAGTTCGATGAATACTGAAATTAATTGAAATTCAGGACGGAGAAAAAAAGCACAACACGCAACTTACTGGGTCAAACTTACAGCTCTGCTCCTCTGCTATGCAAACACAGAGCTTGCAGTCTGGCCCTTTCATGCCTGTTCCTGATCTCACCCTGACGCCCAGGCTCTGCTGGCCATTCATGCTCAGCTTCTCTTTCAGGTTCTGCCGCTGCTCCTGCCAGCTTCCCACCACCTGCATTCCTTCCTGTCTGTCCCACAGGGCAGCCTGCTCCCACCATGGATGTGCTTCACTGGCACTTGGATCCTTGGGCATTCCTGGCTAAGAGGTGAGACCAGAAATTGTCTCGGGGGAATCAAAAGGAACGCATCAAGGTAGGGGCCACACATCCCAGCAGCGTGCTTCCCGTGCCTCAGTGCTCTCAATTCATTAATCAGCATGGTTAATTTTAAAGAAGTTACCGTTTCTGCAGCTGGTTATTAGGAATCCTGTTGCTGGGTTAATGGTTCTACTTGAAAACAGTTGTGGCATCACTGCAGATGAAGCCAGCTCACTTCAGTACGCCTTGTAATAACGCGTTGCTGCAGATCATATATGCAGTCATTGCCTTGTTTCCATGGAAGAACAAAGTGGAAATATATTTTGCATCAGATATTAAATGTGGCTTACCCAGTTCCCAGGCAGTTAAATCACTGAGAAGTGTTGGAGCTGGCTATGTTTGATACCATGTCTGCCTCTCTGCTTTGTTCCCATGTACAGATTCAGCATCTGTAATATTTCACTTTGAACATTCGCTTCTGAGCTGTGGGCAGATGAAAACAAACGCCACGCAGAGACATCAGAACCACAGAAGCCATCTGCAGGATGTAGCGTAGCTGTGCTAATTCATTTACTGAGAATTAGGCTAATTACCTACTGAGAAACAGAATTTGTTAGCAAGTGCTCCTGGAACCCAGTCTAGCTTGTTTGGAGCCAGCCCAGGTAGCCTGGACAGGTGCTGCACACACTTCCTGTAATTGAGGAAGCGCTGGGGGATGCTCCACCTCAGATGAAATACATAAACACGACGCTGGCAGCTTCTGGTCAGCGCAGATCCTATCATGCCTCTTCGTCTGGCTCCCTGGGGAACTGCTTGCACAATCTCGTTATTTGTCTGACCCAGTTTCCAATATGCTGACACGTTTGTCACAGGTTACAGAGGAGTTTCAGAGGTGCTGCGTCCTTAGCAATTTTGCAGGGGTTAGCACCCACCAGGAAGAGAGAATTCTTATTAATGCTCCCATTGAGAAGAAGGCAGAATTTAGCAGTTCTTCATTGTGGTTGACAGCAGCAAATGATTCTGATTTGCAGGTTACTCCATCACTCCTTAGCAAATGCACTGTTTTCTTCAGCAAATGCAAAAAGCCTGAGGCTGGCTAAGGGGCGCTGGGGCGTTACTACGTGGCTGTGGCAGGGGGCAGTCAGCGTTGTGATGGGGAGAGAAAGAGAGATGTGGCATGAATCCATAAGGAGACAGGCTTCATTGGGTACCGGGAATCATTTGTTAGGAAAGTACTGAGAGCAATCTGGTATGTTCAGATACGTTGATGCTCTGATGTAACCCTTGCACAGTTTCACCCATCAGCCGTCCGTGGCACATCTCCTTGCTGTCCCGCAGCAGGAATCCGCTGTCATTTGACCTGAACAGATCGCTGTAGTAGCTTTTCTTGGTGTGCGTTTAATAAAGTTGTAACCACTGTGACTATAACTCATGGCTCTCGGTCGCTCCGCAGCGGTGCAACCAGCGGTTCGGCATTCCAGCGACATCAGTTCAAAGGGAAATACGGAAGGCTCAGATGTGCGCCAGAGCTTTGTGACTTTTATTACTCCTCCCGCACTTCTCTGTTAGGAAGATACATTCTCTACTGCAGAATTAAGAAGTACAAAGCACCCCCAGACCTTGTAGTGCAAAATGTAAGAAGTGATGTTATCTGCAGAAAGTGGACTTTAGATTCTATCAGCGCGCCTTTAGCATAAAGCATTTCCTATGGTAATGCCTCTCACTTTCCCAGACTTTTACGGGCTCCAAGTGGCACAGAGGCTGCAGACCTCTTTGTAATGTTAATGAATCATCTTAATGGACTGTTTTAGCAGCAACATTCATCACCTTTTGTACCACAATGATTTTTTTTGTTATACTTAAATGGTTAAGTAGGCAATAAATGCCTATCAGACCAACCACTATGGTCTAGTCATCCACCTCGCCATAAATCACCGGTGGATTATTATTGTCCTGTTTAATTAACACTCTTAAGGGATTCAGTCGTTGGATAGACTTTCACCTTGCACTAAGCAGGCATTAACATTTCAAGGAAGAAAAAGTGTGTTTATGTGAAAAGCGTCAATCAGTGCTGGTGGCGGTGGATGAAATATGTGTGTGTGTGTCTGTGCATCCCTGTCGGTTTGCAATAGGAGCTACACCCAGACCTGCAGAGCGCCTGTTTTAGTTATAGCCAATGGTCGGTTCCGTATCGTCTGCGTTAGGGCTTGAAGATATTTGAAGGCATTTGATTGTAAATACCAGCTCTAAAGGATTTGGCTCCAGCCGGTAGGAAGGTGGCATTTTTTGTCAGCATAGAGCATGGGTTTTTCGTTGGTGGGTTTGTTTGTTTGTTTGTTTGTTTTTGTGTGCGTGTGTGGTCTGATTCAGCCTTCATACTTGTACAGGATTCAATCAAACTTTTTCTTTCTTTTGCAGCACCTGGTGAGAGGGAAGCACTGATCCCGTTGCTGCTCCCTTTTGAGACTTCACAGCCAGAAGGAGGAAGCGAAGCAGCGCGAGCGCCGGAGGGCCGGGCTGGAGGAGTGGGTGCTGTGTGCAGAACAGCACCGGCAGCTCTTTTGCAAACGAAATTCACGCGTAGGACACAAGCTGTGTGCAGCACCGCTCTCACTATGCAGACGTTTCTCTGCAGTTTGGCTCCATGCTGCCTTCCTCCTCTTGACAAAATAGAAAGATGGCAGCGCTTTCTTCTTTCATCTGTAATGCAATATAATGCATTTAATAGCAATTTCCTTGTCTTTTGTCAAAGGATAAAGTCATGTGAAAAAGGCTCTTGTTAATGCAGTGTTTCCCATGCCCGAAACCTAATCCTGCTCTCTTTGATTTTGTCAGGCTCGCAGTGCGGCGCAGCACCGCCTGCACATGGCTGGTATCCGTGCTACAGGAGCGGCAGCCGAGTGAGACGAACCCAGTGCTGTGTTTCCGTCTCGCAGACACAGCGACCGGCGCATGGATGTCAGAGCGTGGAGGTGTTGGAGGCTCTCAGGGAGCTGTGTGGCTCGTGGGACCCCGTTTCTGGTCTGTACACAAACTTGCTGTGCACATCCCCGTCTGATGGCTTTCCTGCTGAATCATGTTCTGGTACAGACTCCTGCAACTTAAATAACAATTGAAACTGCTAAGTGGAACACGAACTTGTGAATTAAGAGACTGAATCTCCAAGTATTAATTCATTTCCTGTAACGAGGTTCAAGTTCTATAAGATTAAGTCCTTCCTTTTCAATAGAGGTTCCATATTGTATTGGCTAGCAGAATCGAATGCTGCAGGCATGGAAAAGCATTATTTAATGAAGCCTGTTGAGGAGAGGCGAGGAAAGCGCCACAGTTTTCACTGGATGCTTTTGTTTCAGATCCACGGCTGCCAGCATTGATGCTCACCTGCCAGTTTTTATCCTATCTGTAACTGGAAGGGTGGGAGATGATTCACGACATAGGAAATAGCACAGAACTCCAAGGGGGGTTGAATAAGACAAGAAATTAAACTGAGCTCATAAGAGGTGCACTTCAATCTCATGAGAACCTGCAGTGACAGAAAATCAGACAGTCACGTGTGCAGTGCAGTGTTACAGTGTGTGTGCATGGGTTGCACCATGGTTTGTTTTTTGTAGGTTTTTTGGTTTTTTTGCAAATCATTTAACAGAGATGCACAAAAAAGCACACAAAGTTTCAAGTGTAGGCATGTACTAAGAAGAATCTCCCTCTTTCCCTCTAGACACACCCTGCTAATTAAATCCATCACTGCCTAGCAGTAAGCCCTAGGGATCAATCTTTTCTAGAGCACTGTTGCTATCCAACATTTTAGCTCATACAGCGGGCAGCCAAGATTTCATGTCTATGCATATAGCAGGACTGCTAGCCAATATTTCCTGTTCTTCTCCTTCCCATCTCAATCTGGGTACATCGTGTAGTTTTGTTGGTTTTTTTTTAATAGGTAGGTGAAATGTCAGTGTTCTTTTCTGATTGCTTTCTTATATCCTAATGCAAAGAACTGCGGGAAGGTGAGATGTGAAAGCAATAAAACCAGGCCTGTGTGCTCCGTGTAGCTAGCTGGCCATGAGGAACTGCAGGAAGGATGGATATTGAATGACTTCTATAGTCCGCTGGTTTTTATCAGAGCAGGTCATCGACCAGTGGGCTGCCCAAACCTGTTCCACTGCTTCCCCATTGATTAAATATCTGGAGACATTTACGTGCAGATCAAATTCTCCATAATCTATTTCATCTCAATCACACCCAAGCCCTTTTTCAAGCTGGGGCAAAAACGTTCCCTCCAGTGCTGAGAAAAGATGGTATGTCGCCCTAATGTACTTCTCTGAGTTTCCTTGGAGCCAAACTATGACCTCAGATTCCCAAGGGCTGACATCAGCAGGACTCAGGCAGTGTAAGAGAGGTGAAACCCTTCTCATGTGCCCAAATGTCAAGGAATTTAAAACATGGTTCTTTTTTTTTTCCATTGTCAGAGCTGACATTTATGGGGGAAGGGAGGCGCAGAGGGGCTGTGCAGCTTCCAGCCCACCTCCAATGGCCAGCATTGCTTCTGAATCTTGCTACCTGTGTCATCCACAATGAGATGGAGGGTCTTTTGTGGAATTGTTACTTGTTCTTTCCCAGTTTTAATTTATTCCCAGTTTCTTTTCCCGCTCTTACTGCCCATCTCAGTGTCATCCTGCAGACATTCAACTAATGGTTGAATGGGAAGAAATGTAAAGAAAAAATGTGGCCTACAGATACCTTATGTTACATACATGCAAGATAAAATATCTGTAGCACTGCAATGTGTGTGATAGTGAAGCTGGGAGATGCCTGAAAGAGTAAGAAACCAAAGGATGACAATTTAGTATTTTATATTAGGTTCTTCTGTTGTACTTTAACTGGGGTGTAATTTCGGTAGTTGTTTTGTTGCTGTTATTTGTTTGCTTGTTTGTTTTCCCCCAAGGAATGCCCAAAAAAGGGATCACAATTTTTCCTAATTCTCAGCTGACCCTCGTGCAGTGCAGTTCCAGCCCCCACTCCTCCTGCCATGTAACCCCTCCAGCCAAGCACTGCCCAGCGCCTCCACGGCTGCCTCCAGGTGCTCCAGTGCTGCACAGATCCATGGCCTGGCCAGCAAGAGGGGAGCATGGCGGGGCTTCCATGGCTGAACAACTTCTGTCTCTTCTAAATAAATAGAAGAGCTGGTATAAATGAATGTGGATAAACTACTGCTAATCTTGCCAGTTCGTATGAGAGTGCAAGAAGTGAGTACAAAGATGAACTTTTCATCTCATTGAACTCATTCCGCCTCAGTGCGTTTATAGGCAGCTATAAATTCCTATACCTGGGGAGGCAGTTGGCAAAGCTTACAGCACCGGTTTTATTTTCAAAATGATGATAACAGTATGCATTTGTGCAGCACAGAAATGTTTCTCCAATATGAAGTCAGTTTTCTGATTTTACAGTTATAAAGACTTGAGAAGTTATTGATGATTTCTCAAACGTTCAGCAGAAAGCATTTGTGTTGTGGTGTTTCAGCATGTTTCAGATAACGGAATCGTGGATGGGATGGGTTGTAAAGGACATTTAAGGTCATCTATTTCCAACCCCCCGCCATGGGCAGGGACACCAGTTTGAGCAAGTGTTAATGCATTTATGCTTAATTATAATGATGAATTACAGTGTTTAATGTATTTATTACACGTGTCTCATGTGAAACATGTGAAACAAATGTTTCATTTCAAAGTCCAAGTTCTCTCGGTTTGAGTCTCCAGCAAAAGACTGAACATTTTGTAACAGAGGGAGAAAAAGGATGGAGACTCTGCTGCTGTCTCATAACGGTGAACTGGTCTGAGCGTGGATGTGACTGGGCGCTGTGCAGGAGCTCATAGTGTGCAACATTTATTCTGTGACCTGAAAAGGGGAAGTTCTTCACAAATCAAGATGAATCTCCATGTTGGCGTGTAAGTTACTGGTTTGTTTTCCCCAGGTCATGCTTTATGAGTGACTCAATGCATCTGATGTGAGCACAGTGTCCTCTCCTGCTTGGTGCTGCGCTGCTCCTCGCTGTGCCCATGGAGAATAAGCGCAGCACTGATGTGGCACAGGTTTCTTAAATCAGGAGACGTGCTCAGGGTGTTATGAGAACCTCTCAGGCAGGATTTCTGACCTGGAGTCTGTGGCCGTGAAGGTTGTTTGTTCCCTCAGGTTTTTTTTAAATAAATACTTTAAATCCTCCCAATGCTCAGCTCATCTCTCTTATTCCTTCGTTTTTTACCCTGTTTCTTCCAAGTCGCAGCCTGCAGACTGTACAGTTCTCTTCCTACTTGCCATTTTTTGGTGCTTTCCAGAGTAAGTGTGACATGAAAGGCTTTGGGTAACAGCGCTGTAATCAGTTGTTGGACCAGAATTAAACTTCATGTATTTATTTTTTTTTTTTTCCAGGACTCCCTGGGAAGTTTTGCCGCAGCTTTTTCCCTCCCCAAGGAGGTGATACAGACCCGTGGCCGTCCCTTCTGTCAGCCCGAGCAGACAGCCTGAATTCCCATCCATTCCCATGGGCAGACCCACGATTCCCAGAAAACCTCCCTCCAGCTCAGCGCTTCTTAGAAGAGCAGGAATTGCTTCCAAATGCCAGCAGTGCTGTCAGCAGCGGCTCTCACTGCCTGCACAGATCTGCAGAGATTTGGGTCCTTCCCAGCTGCCCGTGTGGTCTGATTGCCTTCCTCGTGTCAATTATTCAAAGAAGCGCTTGATTGCTAAGATGCTGGTGTGATTTGAGTGCTTATTTCCCTGTGGTAACTGATCTTCTTTGTTTGTTGGCAAAAAGATTCCTGTTTATAGAAAACGTCGCGTTTCTTTGGCAGGCTCTCTAACATACAAGTGAATGTCATTACATATTCAGATGTGTTTTATGACAGAAATTTTGATGTATATTTTGTGACTTCTGTAATCAAGAGTCCTTGAAAAGCTCTTTGGAGGCAAAATGACTTTAAAAACTGTAAGACTTATCAACTCGTTCTCCTACTTACTCTCCCTTCATTTAACAGCACAATGCCATCAGTTGTTGAATGCAGTTTCTGGAGTCAAGCTTCAACTCCATCCAACCTAGATTTTATAGGTTATATGTACTTTTTTCTATAGAGCTCAACTAGTTCTTAACAGAACAAAGGAGGACATGCAGAAAAATAGCGAGATAATAAATGAGCACTGCCCCAGACTTTTAGAAAGGAACGTCTCTCTGGGAAGGAGCCAGACCTGTGAGCTGACCGTGCCTGAAGCACAAGCAGGAATTCTCCACCCGAAAGAGGCGCTGCTGGCATCAGTTGGATATTTGCTATTTATTAAAATTAATAAGCTAACACCAAAAACGATTGGTTGTTGTGGATGTGTGGATGTGCAGCATATTTCTGTCTAACAACACGTGTGATGTCATCGCGGGCGATGACTGAGATGTGAGCTCTGTCAGTCAGAGACTTCAACAGATGTGTTTGCTAATGGTTTTTTTTTCACTGATTAGGGATGTTTTTAATTATTTACTTAAGCTGATGCAACTTCCTGCGATGAACACAGCCTTGCAGATGTAGAGATGTTCTTAGCCTGTAAGTGATTGTAGTGTGAGCATGTGTTATGTTAGGAAACGCAGTGATGGGTGTTAGTCAATTGCATGAGGACCCGGCTGGAAGTTCCCTGCCTGCTTTACCATTTGGCCATGCAATGTATCTGACATTAAGTGTTATGCTGTAAGAAGAAAGCAAAATGAACAACAACAAAAGCAGCCCTTTTCCCCCTTGCTATGGATATCCATGGACACTGTGCATTTATCTGTGCAGGAGGACTAACCACAACAGCTATTTCTGAATAAACTGTTCCATCGTAGTTCCCTGTGTGGATATTCTAGTCTGGAAAAGTCACGGGTCAGCTGGTAAGCTGTTGCAGAATAGCTTGTTCTGCAATAGTAATTCCAGTCAATTTTCCAGTGCAAAAAAGCTTCCAGTCCTTAGCTCCAAACTCCTGTTTGTGCCAGAAGATTTGGTCTGTAGAGAATAGTATAAATTTGTTCTATTCTATTCTTTAAGCACTGAACTCCCTTTGGGATCAGCCAGGGAGAATTTTATATCATAGGAATTTGCATTTATGTGCACAGATTCTGTAATTTATTAATGAAACTTTTAATTCATACCTCCTAACAGTGAGCTGGATCCCTTTTTGGCTGCAGGATGTCCAGCTCAGCACTTCCCAAAGCCTGGTCCCAAAACAAGGCATAAAGCAGCCTGGAAGAAGATCCCCCAAACCAGGCTCAGGATGGTTGTGGTTTTCATTGCCAACAGCAGTCGACCAAAGCAAAACAAAGCAAAATGTCCAACTTTCTTCCATGCCCAAATATAGAAGGTGGCAGCAGCATCCAGCTAACATTTGAGCTTTCCTGCAGTGGGGAGAAAAGAGTGGTCTACAAATATTTATGCAGCGTGTGAAAGGGCTACAAATGTGCCTGAGAAAAAGGTGCAGAAAAGTCTTCAGTGAAGGCCAGTGAATCTTACTGCACCCAACCTGCTCTCATGGCAACCCGGTGTGAGTGCTGTGGTTCGATTCCTGTGTATGTTTGAATCGTGTTTTCACCTCTCCTCCAGTGAAAACAAACAAACAAACAAAACCCAGCAAACCAACGCCTGTGTGCTGTTTGATATTTGACGTATTCTGTATGAGCCTCAGGACCCTCCAAAGCAAAGGGTTGCTTTTAGTCCAAATTGCATCACAGTGCCCCTGGCATTTTTGTGGTGCAGGCCAATTAACCTTAGCAACTGAAATTAAAATCCCCAAATGCATTTTGAATAGTGACATAGAGCTGATTTTAATCTAGGCTTTCAAAAACGAGGCAGGAATGTGTTAATCACCCGCCCCTCCCTTCTCGTTATTCACATGGCCCAGGGTCCTCGGTGTCAGAGCAGGCTCCCACGTCACCCTCTTACTTCACTTTCCCCAGGCGTTATTAAATACTTAGTAACAAAGCTCTGAAGTCCATCCTGAGATTTACCTGTTGGCATAAACCTGAGGCCGTGACAGCAGCTTTCACTGAAATGAAAGAACAGGTTTTGGCACAAGTACTTTTAATGTACAGCAGCTGGCAATTTTGGGCTTAAGGAGCAAAATCACACCTGAGTTCTTGTGCTCTCAAGAACTTTGCCAACAAAAGGAGAATAAAAAATAAACATTTTACCTTTTTCCTAATCCAGAAGAAATGGTGCAGCTGTTTCCAAGAATATGTTCTATTGACCATGATGTTCACACTGTCACATCAACGCTGGAACAGAAGACATTCTTGCTTTCCAGTTACATTTTAGCACAAATGTCTTTCATTTTTTTGTTTCAACATATTTTCCCTCTAACACATTTTTTCAATCATCAGAATTTTTCCTAATAACATGTTTATTCAACGCTCAGCTAAACCAGATTCGGAATTTGACAAGTATATAAATGTTTACAAATCGATCCATTAAATGCACTTGCTGCTTCTAGGGGATGATGTGCAGCCACCTGAACGCTGCTGCTGCTGTTGGCAGAGGGTTTGGCAGAGCCCAGCTGGTCAAACAGCAGGGCTGGCTGCTGCTGGGGGCTGCGAGGAGGGTGGAGGGAGCTGCCAGCCCCCCGCAGTCCCTCACCATTCAGATCTTGTTATCTTTTTAGCTGGCACGTGGACGCTTCAGCCCAAATTCTCATTTTACTCCTAGCAGTGGAGAATGTGGTAACAGGTAAACGTGAGGTGCTGATTTCTGTTAGAAGCAGACAGGTGTTCATGCAGAAGGTGGTGCTGTTAATTTGCTTGATTCTTTGGTAGTTCTGCACTCATGGGATTTTGATACAGAAGGCAACAGATTTTGAGTTTGATGTTTATATTTGTTTCTTGTGTGTGCGAGACCAGTAGGTTATTCAACAGCAGGGCAGTCTTTGTGTTTTATTCCAGCTGAGTCACTTCCACAGAGGTTTGGATGTTTCAAAATATCTTCTCACTTTATATTCTCTCCCAACATGCTCTTCAAAGGAATAATAAAAGCAGTAGAACGTCCAAGTTCCCAGTACAGAATCCTATTCTTATTTCCATGTAACTTTTGCAATTCCTAGAGCTGCTACAGCTGATTTCCTTTGAAATTCATGTACTTTTGTTTTTACGGTTTGCAGTTACATCCTTGCAGCAGTTTTAAAACAGGGAAGTTGGTGCAGTGATTTGGATTCCAGAGAGAGAATCCCTCAATATTCTGGAGTCTCGGGGCAGTTTGGAGACCAGTAAAGGACTGAAATATAAGGTTGTGATAGTGATGGTGAAGCTCAAACTTCTCAGCACATAAAGTTTGTCTATTTGAGTGCTCAGACATAATTCTGTTTGCAGCTTAATTATAGTCAATGAAGTTCTCATGGCATTTATGCTGAATTGGGAAAAGACATTCTTTTATTCAGTTCACTTGGTGTTTCTTTGTCTCAGATTGCTGTCCTGCTGCCTAAAATAAATTATTGCTCCTAAAAGCACGAGGGAATGTTGGATCCCTGTAAGAGAAGCTAGATGAAAATCACTTTTCCTTTTTAAGAAAGGCCTGCTGGAGTTTGCTTCTAAAAAACTAAACAACAACAGGAAGAGATGGTAACAAAAATCCTCACTTGCTCTCATGGTGATTTGGTTCTCTGCAGGACAGATTGTTGCAGGTGTTTCTCCCTCCATAGCAGGTAAATTGAAAACATCTAAGCTCTTCTTTTCTTTTTTTTTTGTTTCTTCAAAGCCCAAACGCATCGGTTGGAAGGGGCTGTCCCACTTGAGGTTGTTAGCTGTTAGCAGAGAATGACCATTCTTCTCTGTTTTCCCTTCTTCCTTCGGGCTTCGCTCATTAGAAGATCAGTTACGTTCAGTGTAGCTGGCAGATGATACATCTGGCACCTGTTACATCCTAACTCTGCACAGTAAGATCTGCTAGCCCACAGAATGTCCGTCCTTCCAGCAATTGTCCAGACCACAGCCAAGGGAGGCAGCAAGAGACTGAAGCTAGCTGGAACATAGTAGGCATTAAGGCAAGCTCTTAAATGGCCAGTGGGGATTTTGTTTTTCCTATTCTCACTGCAGTGTTTCAGCTTTCATCTGTCTCCTTGAGACTCTTTGCTGATCCAAACGCTTCTGCTTGCCCTGAATCACTACAGTTTGGAGAGGTTTGTCTTTGTTTTAGGTGTGAGTGAGGTGCTGGATTTCCCATGCTATTTCATGTTAACTCAAAATAAACCTGTCAGATCCATAGGTTGCCAGCCAGTCCACTGAAAGAGGTAAGGACAGACCTTTGGTGAGAAATACGTTCCGCTGCAATCGTGTGAGCTGAATGTAGGCGACTAGCTGCACGTAAAAACAGAAAGCACCTTTTGATGCAACAAAGACAAGGAAATAACATCAGTTTATTTATTCTATTGATGCGGTGATTTATGTAGGAAACGTTAGTATCCAGCAGTTTAATATCTTGGCACTAAGATACATGTACATTTGTGCTCCGTGCTGCTCTTTTATCTGTAGCATGTACTGACTGCAGTAGTTTTTGATCCAGACAGGCTCTTCCTCTGCAGTTACAGAACATTCTTGGAAGTCGATATCAGACCTCTCGTACAGACCATCTCATAGCAGAGCTCCCCTCACGATTGCTCTGAAAAGAGCACACGTGTGTAACAAATAGGCAGCCTTATGGGAATTACTGGGAAACGGCTGTCTTATAAAACAAACGTTTACTTTTCCGTGTTACCTTTTTTCATCCAAGCTGTGAAATTACAGGGTAGAACTTAACAGCTTCAGAGCAGCACTGTTCTGTGTGCCATCTGTGGTGCCCTCTGCTGCACATCTCTGTAGGAGCAAGCCAAGTGCGCATGCTGCTGCATTCCTCACACTGCTCTTTTTCACATCTGAACATTTAATAATGGTTTATGATTAGTTTTCCTGGTCCTTTTCCCTCTAACACACATAAAAATGCATTCTGCATTTAAAATTGAAATGCTTTCAAAAAAAAGAAAATAATAATAATTAAGGAGAACTTATAGAGTGAAAATGAATAATTAAACAGGGCTTTCAGAAGTAAACCTGCTAGTTCTATTACTGATTGTTGCTCATTTGTTATCCTGGATACTAGCTTATTTGTTTACAAATACTTACGTATTTATACACATATATTTAGTTTCTTTTCTGTTCATTCTGATGTAAGCACTGAGAATCTTGGTCCTGCTTTTTTTCTAATTGCTGTTTGCTGTTATGGGGAAGGGACAAGTCATTACATTATCTTCTCTCATGTAGATATACATCGCTTCGTTTGCAATCCATCCCTAGGAGCAGGGTATTGTGTTGTCAGTTCTACATCAAACAAAAATCTGTTGATTTTGATGTTGAATTGTTGGAAAGAACTACGGAGTTTTTACGTAAATATTTCCGGAGTGATCTCAAGGTACCTAAAGGCCAAAAGACTGAACATGAAAGAACTGAAAATTTCTATTCATTATTTCCCCTTTCTTCTGCTTGCCTCTGCTAACTGGAGCACCTTGTGTTCGAATCTTAATGGCCTGGGGCCTTCCTCAGATCAGTCAATCCACGATTCTTTTAATTACCTACTCAGGATGGATTTGGACTGCTTACTCTCATGAGTACCAGAAAAGAAACTTCATAGGCAGGAGCCAATGGAGCAACAGCAACAACCTGCTGTCTCCA